CAGGTAAATGAGCCACAAGAAAAAGCTAACTGAGCCATAACTAGCCTTCCTTATAAACAAATCCTGAGTAGGCCCCTATACATCTCTATAGCCCATTGCTCCAGTCCATATCAAGTTAAACTGCCCTGGGAATCTAGAATTCAGATAATAAATAATATGCAGAGGATAATCAAATCTTAGGATGGCAAGAACAGAGTTCAATTCCATAGTTATGTTTTTTAAAATCCAAATTTCATGCCTACATACTATTTTGACTGTTGCCCTATAAACACCTTCAGAGTTTGGCCCAGGAGCAGACAGTGAGAGTGACACAGTGGATTGTAATTCCTGTAACTGGGCAGAGGTGATTTTTCAGAGAACAGGCTGTCAGATCATTTGGGGCTTTACAGACAAAACCAACAGGCTGAATTGCTCCCAAAGTTGCGTGTGCAACACCAGTGTAGAGGACAGTACTAATGAGGTGGGCATTTTCTAGATGAAGTTTCTGGGTCCTTTAAAACTAAATGCTATTGCAGTGATCACCACTGAGATTACAAAGACATGATTTGCTGTGAGGCAATCTGCAACAGAAAGGGAAAGTGGTAGCCTCCAGGCTACCAACATGCCATCCTGCCACCAGAGACTCTGTGAATAATGTGACCTCCAGGCTGTAAATAATATTAGCAAAGGTTATACACCCCATTCCAAGGGAAATTACATCCACTATTCTGTCCCATTCCCTCAAATACTTCCCTCCTACAACAAAAAGGAGATGAGGTGCACAGGGTTATCCACATACCAATAACTCTGCAAGCCAGAACACAGCACTCTCTCTCCCCTACAGGCCAAAGATAAACATCAGACAAGAGGGATGAAAAGATGAAATCTTGCAGAACTCCATACATGAGTGACCTGGGGGAGGGGGAAAAGCACTTATTACCATACTTTGGGATCTCTCCCAAAGGAAGGGACAAAGCCAATGAAGGGCCTTTCCACTGCTTAACAGGTAATTCATCAAAACCTAGTAGTTAATAGTATTGGAAGCTGCTGATACAGTACAAAACCTACAAGGACATTTATACCTGTGTCCATCACTGGAAGGAGCATAAATAGGGCCCTACCAAATTCATAGTCCATTTTGGTCAATTTCACAGTCATAGGATTTTAAAAATAGTAAATTTCATTATTTCAGCTATTTAAATGTGAAATTTCAGAGTGTTGTAATTGTAGGGGTTCTGACCGAAAAAGGAGTTGTGAGGACAATCGCAAGGTTATTGTATGGGGGGTTGCGTTACTGCTACCCTTACTTCTGCAATGCTGCTGGCAGCGGCGCTGCCTTCAAAGCTGGGCAGCTGGAGAGCAGTGGCTGCTCCTGGGAGCTGAGCTCTAAAGGTAGAGCCGCCACCAGCAGCAGCACAGAAGTAAGGATGGCATGGTATGGTCAGGGCCGGCTCTAGGATTTTTGCCACCCCAAGCAAAAAAAATTTTGGCTGCCCCCTCTTTTTTTCCCCGTGTCCCCCTGCCCCCGGCCCCGCCCCAACTCCACCCCTTCCAAACCCCTTCCCCAAATCCCCAGCCCCGCCTCCTCCCCCGGGCGTGCCGCATTCCCCCCCCCCATTGCTTCCTGCGGGCCTCCCGGGACCTCCCGCCCTAGCTCACCTCCGCTCCGCCTACTCCACCGGGCGCGCCTTTGCTCCGCTTCTCCCCCCTCCCTCTCAGGCGAGGGAGGTGGAGAAGCGGAGCAGCGGCGCGTTCAGGGGAGCATGTGGAGTGGAGGTGAGCTAGGGTGGGGGGGTGCAGGAAGTAACGGGGGTAGAGGAACTGCTCCCCGCTCCAGCTCACCTCCGCTTCACTAGTGCCACCTCCCCCGAGCGCCCGCTGCTCAGCTTCTCCTCCCTCCCTCCTTCCCAGCCTTGCTGCACGAAACAGCTATTTCCTGCGCGGCAAGACTGAGAGGGAGGGGGGAGAAGCAGAGCGGCGGTGGTGCACTCAGGGGAGCAGGCGCAGGTGGAACGGAGGCGAGCTGCGGCGGCGAGCTGGGGTGGTGGGGGCGCTTTTTCCCCATGCCCCGGAGTCGGCGCCTATGATGGCTGGTGCCAGAATGCAGCCCCTAGAAATGTGCCGCCCCAAGCACCTGTTTGTTTTGCTGGTGTCTGGAGCCGGCCCTGGGTATGGTATTGCCACCTTTACTTCTGCGCTGCTGCCTGCAGAGCTGGGCCCTCAGTCAGCAGCCGCCGCTCTCCGGCCGCCCAGCTCTGAAGGCAGCAGCACAGAAGTAAGGGTGGCATGATATAGCATTGCTTCCCTTACTTCTGTGGTGCTGCTGGCAGGGAACCACCTTCAGAGTTGGGCACCTGGCCAACAACCACCACTCTCTGGTTGCCCAGTTCTGAAGGTAGCGCAGAAGTAAGGGTAGCAATACCATGTCTGCCCTAAAATAACCTTGCAACCCCTGTGACGGGTTGGATCATAGAAACCCCTTTGGGAACTGCCAACTGATGTGCCCAGACTACTTCTGCCCCTGCTTTAATGGAAGCTATCAAGATTCCAAACCACCATTAATGACCCGCACTTTGCATAATTACAATAGGCCCTCCGAGTTATACTTTATATTTCTAGTTTCAGATACAAGAGTGATACATTTATAGGATGACCACACTCAGTAGAGTATAAGCTTTGTAATGATACCTTACAAGAGACCTTTTGCATGAAACACATTTTAGTTACATTATATTCACACTCATCAGCATACTTTCATAAAATCATATAGAGTGCAACATCACCACCACCCCCAACTCCCTTTTGGGCAGGACCCCCAGTTTAAGAAACATTGGTCTCCCCAGTGAAATCTATATAGTAGTACAGGGTAAAAAACAAAACAAAACAAAACAAAACAAAACAAAACAACCCCACAAAAGACTAGATTTCATGGGGGAAGACCAGATTTCACGGTCCATGATGCATTTTTCATGGCTGTGAATTTGGTAGGGCCCTAAGTATAAACTTCCAGTTTGAAGGAAGAGGAACTCCTATATTTGAGACTGTTTAATAACATCACTCCTTGTGTGCAAAACATTTTGTTAACTGTAAACCAGCTGGCAATCCCAGCGGTTGAAGATGCATTTGTTTCTACATCATTTCTGCAACTGATCTCCCCCACAATTCCACTGCAACTTCAACTCCTTCCATCTGAAATTTCCAGTGGAGTTGTAAGGTCAAATTTTGCTCCTAGGCAAATTCAAACCTGAAATGATAAATTCGCTTTTGCATCACATGTCCTGCATAAATCATAAACCCAATATTGATTGCAGCAATAGTTAAGCAAACTAAAAAAGATGTAATAGGAGCAGGAAATATCTTCCTGGGCCTGAGGGCTCAACTGAGGTTATGCCTGCCACAAAAGAGCAATGATTTGTACGTTATGGTTTGATAAAGTAATACTTCGTTTTTTTTTAACACAGATACTGCTTTGGGCCCAAGAAAAATGTTGGACGTATGTCTTAGAGAAATGAAAGGAATATTTTTCTCAAATACTGGAAAACAATCATAAAGAACATCTGGGTGGCTCCAATCAGAAATTTAGAAAGAGAAGGATCTTGGTTTTGTTTTTTTTAAGCCAACAATAAAACAAAATTAGGTTTATTAAAGTGTTTGACTACTGGGCAATCTCTGTTTGTTAGTGCAATCCTCAATATTTTGATCCAAATTCTATCTCAGTTACCTCTAGGATGTGGAACTGTGTTCAGTCACATGCCCTGGATGTGAGGGTAAGAGTAAGTATATGGGCCATGATTTTCAAAAGTGCTACTGAATATCACAATATCTGGGCGTCCAATTTACGGCACTGTGACGGGGCCTGATTTTCAGAGGGCAGCAAGTGTGCTCAATCCTTTCTGAAAATCAGGCCCCTTTACAGTGTCAAACTGGGCAAACAAAATCACTAGCCACTTTGGAAAATCCTGGCCTTAAACTTTTCTCAGGGCAAAATTACAAATTAATCCCAAGCTTCAAAATAAACCCTTTGCTATGGTCAACTTCAACTATGCAGCTGCAATGTACCGTGCAGAGATGCATTGCCTTGGTTTTTTCCTATTCAGTGAAAAAGACCTTAATCTTGGCTATCTGCTTCTGAAGGTCAGGCCAATTTCTGTATATCTGTGTGTTTCTTGAAATCTCCAATTTTACCCTTCTATCCATTATTACCTCCCTCCCACACACTGTTCTTTTAACTATTCCTCCATATGACAATCGTTGATAAAGGTAAGAGGACTGTGATTTTAAATGCCTGGCCTTTTACAAAATAGGTATTGCTGATAATAGATATGGTTCCAGAATCATAGGTCAGCTCTATTTTGCCAATAAACCACTTATTTCCACTGGCCTTAAGACCTCAAAGCCCACAGCTTGCGGCTTGTGCTGCAAAACTGATTCCACTGGCAACAAAAGCAGCCAGCCAGCCATATTCTTTGCTTAGTGCTTTGAAAGTGATGCTGTATCCCTGACACCATACTTCTCCACAGCATTGTACGGGTGAGTGCTACATTTAATTTCTGCCGTGAGCATCTGAAGGCAAATGACACTTGCTAACCTATTTTTCAACCAGGAAACTAACTAGAGACATCAGAGTCTTCCCCAGCATCGTGATTTTTCAGCTACAGCTCAAGGAATATTGCCAAGTTTCTTGTAATTACCTAAGTTGTTATGCTGTTGTGTTAATACTCGATGTTGTTATGGTTGTCTGTAAAAGCCACTTTTGTGCCTATGTATACAGGTCTTAGCTACATACGGATGGAAGACTCCTGAAAGGTCCTTAATAAAAACAGATTTTCTAAGTAATTCTCTGGTGAAAATGCAACATATGCTAGAACTCATATTGAAAGCCATGATACAATAACAGCTACAGAACACAATACACAAAGGAAGAGTCAGATGGCAGCAAAAAAATAAAAAATAAAAACCCTGAGTCCAACAGTTAAAGAGCAACTAGCAAAACTTGGGTAAGCTGTATGTTCTTTACTTACCATCAAAGTTTTTGTACTGAGATGTTAGGGTCACCTGTGCAGAGCGGCTGGCTTCTGTCATCATGTCTTCAAATTCACTTTGGCTTTTTTTTGCGAAATTCTCCTCCATCTCGCTGGTGCAGCAGGTGTAGCCCTGCGGGCAGATTCTCAGGTGTTCCCCTAAAGTGAGGAAAAACAGTAAAAAAGGGTCTGAAAAAGAGATTTCATCCAAGATGACCTTAGTATCAAAGTATCCAAACTACGCATAGCAAATCCAATTCTACCCTCATTAATTATGTAACTGACGGCAGAATTAGGTCAACCTATTTAGCCAGTAATGTAAGTTACTTCATTTTGCTATTGCAGATGCTCTGTGTTTGAACAAGAATTTTCTCATTCATAACCAGGGGGTGGAGGGGGTGGGGGGAGAGGAATATTGCACTCTATTCAAACTCTGCCCAGAATCTCAATCTCTACCCAGAACCACAGAAGAAATGGATGTCTCTGATTAAACGATATTGAAATTGTTGTCATTAGACTTCAGAGTTAACACACTGAAACAAATGGCAACAGTTGACACTTTTCTTAGAGCAATTGTTTGAGACTCCTAGCCAGAACAGTCAGACAGTGTGACCTCACTTCCCATTCTGAAGCAAGTGTCCACAACCATGACTAAAGAGGGGGAGTTTGAAAGTCAATGGCATTTAGGTGCCAAACTCCCCTGTGTATCTTTTAAAATCTCCTTCTTTACTCTTTTTTTTAAATGAAACTTTATAATTTGCCGAAGCTGACAGGACGAGCAGAAACACGCCAATATGGCATGTTCTTGCTCAATATGGTCCTTGCTCACATGCCAGCTCTTTGTTCTACTAGACCCGGCTTATACTTGACAAAGTGTATCAATAGGCGAAAACTCTGCTGCCCCAAATTTGACACCATCACTTCCTGAGAGGGAGAGAAGATGAACTCTGTAGGTGAAAAGCCTGTTTTAAACACAAGCCTTTTTGATAAATTAGCAGCAATGACTATGAGAGGATTCGTTTTTTAAATTTGATACATTCAACAAAATTCTACAAGTCATGTCCCTCCAGTGCCTCCTGCAACCTCTCTGTTCAGGCAAAATAAACAGTTGCACAGGTACAGTTGGCAGCATCATTTAACAATTACCTGCATTTTTAGGATTCTTGAGAAAGAGCCATCCACCTGCAAACACTGCTTGGATTTCCCCTGGCTCCCAACCAAAGTGCAACTGAATGTAACACTGCTCTACAGCCAAAAT